CAGCTCGGATATTCTATCTTTTTTTTATGTCGTCCGTCCCCCCAAACTAAAATATTGTAAATCCTATAAGATCAGGAATCTGCGGCAATCCATCTGCCTTTAAAGCTTCATCCCAGGTTTCGTCTGTGCTTTAAAGTCTTTAATACACGAAACTTACGGGCAGTACCAAGTCTTAAGAAGATCATAGCACAGGATTCACTGTTAGGAAGTGGCGATCGCTCACTTTAGGGAGGCAATTCCAACTCTCCACTGGTGTACAGACGGATATTCATGAAAGGAAAATATTTTCCAGTGCATGTATTTTCTAACTACAGAACACGTCGGTAGGTCAGGATGCGCTTTTCGTGATGGACTCGTGTCGTGGTATAACTTGACCGTGTCGGGGTGGGTTTTGCATCGTGCGTAAATTCTTACATGATCACGGGTAAACTGGTAAAATACATTATGTAAGCCACCTAGGTCACAACGAGATCGCCTTGTCCACTGTGTGGATGTTTCATAATCGAGACTTCTAACCACTTGAGACGTGTCGCGATCTTGAGCCTCGTCCTTTGCGTTCTTGCTTCGTCCTGTTCAATTTGGATGAGATGAGAATTCCTGCTCCCTAACCACCTATCTGGGGATATCAATTGATTTGAGGGTGAGCGACATTCTTATCGTCAAGACGCCAGTATTCCAGTCCGGAATAGAATTCGGCACGTGAACTTAAAAGCAAAGGTAATCCATTTTTTTAAATTTTGACAACCAAAGGTTAAAACGACTAGTGTGGTTGTCTATTTACAAGTGTATGCTGCCACATATCTTCCGCATTTCGCTAACCGTTTCTTCGCGCACGTGGTCCACTCCTAATTGATCATCGATCTCCCTGATCGTCGATTACCTTAAAACGCTCGTCGATCACCCTCGACCTTTGATCATAATGTCTACCTTGACTAACCGACAGATTCTTGATCCCGGTGTCTTTAAAATAGATCTCGGTATCTTGATATTCGGACTCAAAATTAGTGCGTCTTGACAGCCAATCAATCCTTTTCGAAAATCGGTCGTCCCTTTTGATCGGTAAACCCATCGATCACTTTTAATTTTCCAAACGCCGCTTTACTACAATATATACTAAGGCGAGCCTTAATTTCACTGCCTTTATAGGTTATCGATTGTCCATGTGTTAATTTTCTCATGTTGTTTTGCACAAGTCTCATTTTATCCATTCAAAGACCGTTCCGCACGGTGTAAATTGCCTTTTTGCTATTAATCTTTGGGGATAGTTCGGACATACTGCTCATTTGTTGATTTATTTTTTAAGTCAATCTTGACTAAAGATTAATCGATTTAACGGGGTTACGCGGCGGTTATTGAACCGTTTATGTTTTGTGTCTACACCAAGCAAAGATCGGTGGATCTGAGTGATACAGTCTTGGTACCATTTACTTACGGCCGTACCGCACCTTATCGGGTAAGGATAAGGGATTAGAATTCTGTCACACGATCACAACATAGAAGTCGATCAGGCAAGGATTTAGGGATTTATGACCGTAGTTAAAGAATAAACAAAGTTCATTTTCTCGTTGGATTTGTTGTACACAAGTGCCTAGTTAAGGCGTAGTGTGCTCGAAGATAATTAGCCTTGTAAAGGCGCTTACTCTCGTTTAACTAGTAGTGACTAGTTTTTGTGTGATTCTTTGTATCGTAATCCCTTTGAAAGGGGAATTGTCAAGCTTTAACGCTTAAACGACTGTGCGTCGCTGTTAGTTTGTTGTAACTAAGAGACTCTTTGAGTCTAATACTTTCTCCGTTAAGGAGTTTTAGTAGCTCGCTACACTCGTTAATTAGGCATCTCGTGTTGTACTGCTAATCATTTGTTTTTTTGCCAATTCTATAAAAAGTCGTGCACAGATGATTCGGTTGAAGCGAAGCTTAATGCTGGAATCCACGTCAGCAACCGGTCGATTAGAGTTTTGGTGTGTGCACTGTGTATGCAAATCTCGTTTATTCGACACTGTGACCGGCGAATCGCTCCGGACACGGTTTGTTATCACATTAAGTTGCGTTCAGCCGGCCCATAAACTCAAAATAGCGAGGAAATGCTTTGTACTGTTATCATAGAACTGGACATTGCTTACAGCTGATTAAACGAAGTCGAGTGAATATGCCATTACACGTTGTTACATAATCGTGAAAGTGACATGACGACAAACTTAGTTGAAAGGTTAATATCTGTTTTAAGGTCGTATGTTTTTAAACCTGGTATCCCTATATACTATTTAATGCATGTGGATAATATGTGCAAAGATAATTTTTTGAGAATTGTATCAGTTTCAAGAAAGCCATGCTTTTCTTTTCTACCTTCAGAAAACTTTAGAAATAGTTTACTTCGGATAGGCAAGATCACAAGTTATTAATCACATTTGTTCATTTGTGGTGTCCCGATAGTGGTTCATTTAGCCCAAACGTACCATTAATTACGTTCACATTGTAACAGTATCATAGGAGCGAAGAGTGAGGAACAAGACACAATGACCTTGATGACATATATTAAGGTATATTATATAAACATAATAAAGGGGTAGCCAAACGACAGTTATAACTTGCACTTAACGTCTTCGGACTGTACTTCACATTGTAATTCCTACAGTACAGAGAGTTGAATGCATCGGTGAAAGCTTTAACAACCTTAACGAACAGTTTCATGAAATACTTCTCGACAAATTCAGGAGCTCAACATCTCGCGTCACGCCTTGAAATATGCAGATCATCATCTTTATACCCTTTTTTCTATAATCATAAGTCTGTAGAGCGATATGCGCGTAGGCAGTGAAGTATGAGCTATTGGCGCGCGAACGAACCGACATATACATAGCAAGGTCGGGGTTACTTTCGCATTCTGGCAGGACCGCTTTAAATCTTCTTCGTAATCATCAGGGGAAAGGCGAGAATTTGCATAGTCATTTGCAACAGCCTGATTTCAGTGGATGGACCATCTTCTTCCATTGAAAGTTTGGCGGCTGCATTATAAGTTACAAAATCGATTTCTTTCTTAATGCGATCCCAGTTGCTCACCTTGTGCGTAAGAAGGGGTCCTGGAAATGGTTCGGTCAGAGAAGCTCTAAGGACACCATTCACACTGGTCAAGTCGTTGTCGTTGTTAACAGGGTGAGCCTTAGCGTCAGTACTCCGGACATGATGCGTGCCTTGTTCGACAGAAGGCTGGGCAAGCATCCTCACGAAGATTTTCTGGACGACGTTTTCATTTTAGCGTCCGTTTAAGGTCTAGGGACTCGGTGTGTGCCTTAGACGACAGGCGACTTTCGATTTTCCGCCATGACAGGTCGGCGAGATAGTCTGATGGGCTGAATTTTTTAGGCCACGATTGCTATAAATTATTCGGTCAATACTTGCAAAAAATTGTCTAAAACTAAACTGTTTGTGTAACGAGGCAACCTTCGCCTGGGTGTTACGAAACTTCACGTACACTAGTACGTACAGAGGAAGCTAATTTGCTTGAACGACTATGTTCAGTAAAGGGTAAAAGAGAACTGTATTTAGGATAGTTAAGCTATCAATATAACTTTAATCTTTATCTAAGTATGTTAAACTACGCCGTAGTGTGACGACAACCTGTTCACCACTCGTTGCACGCATCTAAAAGCGTTTGGTGGTAATCCATGGTTAGTATGTCTTATATCAACCAATTGTTGAGCAGCGCATGAATATTATTCAAAAGGGGATAGCACTCCTTCAATGTTATTTATCTCGAAAATTATTGGTAAAATATTGTCATGCTAGACAAATTCCTGTTGACACCGTTTAGTGTCAATTTCATGCAACGGGCTACCCCGTTACATCACTACCCTTCAACCATCAATCATCCGTTAATTGATAAGAATTGATTGGGACAGGGTGACCACTGCTGGATCACTCTGGGAAAGGGAGCACTTGTCTATTAATTTCCATTCACTTGCCATCCAACGCATGGTTTTAAAACCACGCGAGCTGCTACAGCAGCAGCAAGAAAGGCGGTTAAACGCATGCGTGCAGCCGTAGAGAGTACCTCTCACGCCACAGCAGCAGGTCATTCGTAACCTGTTGTCGTGAATCGTCCACGTGGTGAGTCACTACGTACGACATGTACATCCGCTGCGTCTGCAGCGAGTACCACGAGTCGTAATCAAGGTAAGAGGAGATAAAGCTCATCTATTCTGTTGAGTCGGATGGTGCATCCGACCCGAAGGCGACACCTCGCGCCTCCGGATCACCCGGGGCGGACACTGCAAGAGCCAGGTTGACTTGCTTTGTGGAACGTGGCGGCATCACGTCCGAGATCTTCGGATTAAGCGATTATTCCGACGAAATTCCCCTTCACGCAAGTCCATCCAACGATATGACGCGTGGGGATGGTGGTGATGCACCTATACATCACCACGAGCGAAGTAACTCGAGGGATTGGGGTATGACTGGTGTCAGTGCTCCGGCTGGCACCAATTTAAAGGCCAGGGACCGAAATGTCCTGCGCCACGCTCCCCAAGCGGAGTCTCCGTGAATTCTGTCAATTTAAAGAGATGGACCGGTTGGTCGGCCTGACTACCAAACGGGATCGAATCCCGTTGTTCGATTGCAGGAATATTTGTCCACCTGATTCCAGCACGAAAACTATCCGTGCTGAGGAAGAATTCTTCATCGATGCAAATTTAAAACTTCGGTGGTACAATGGCAGCCGTGTTCGAGACGGCAAAGCCTTGGTGCAAGGATGTAATGCCCTCATCCATAACATCGAGTGCATAGGCAGTGAGGCCTGGCTCGCCGAACTTGATGCAGCTCGCATCTGATTTGAGAAACGCAGCCCATTCGGGGCGCGAAACAGTTGCACCGGTTTTAAAGAGGCAGGGTTACCCTGTTTCTCGTGGGATGAATCGTTTTCAGGTTGCCTATACAACTCGAACCGTGCCCCTAGGGAGGCTTTCATCCCTAATGATCCCTATTGGAGGGCGCGTATCTCTTCCGAGATGACCGAAGGGATTGACCCCATGCAATCCCTGTACTCGCGTTCGGGGAGGTCATTTTACGACGGACATTCTTCGAATGCAGCGGGTGGGTCTCGTCGTACTGCTCGACGAGAACCAGGACACCCACAATCAGCTAGACAAGAGGCTTCCAGCTGTCCCGCGCCGGTGGATTGCCACGCCAGCGGGCGAGGTAGCTCGTCCGGACGCCATTCACGTCGCGGTGGTAGAAATTGCACTCCACTAGAAAACTTTGACCACTGCCTGAGTTCACCAAAGGATGTAGTGGCGGCGGGAACACCTGATCAGGCTCGAGGGTCGGATCAGCTTGATGTTCAAGAGCTGAACCGTGTGACGGAACAGCTGCAAGATGATCTGGCTCATGAACGAAATCGGCATTATGAGCTCTAGATTCTTGTAAGGAATATTTATAATTCCCTAACGCACGATAGTTCGAAAGATTGTGCCGCGTTTGCGCTCGCAAAACTTGAGAACGAACGATCGACTCGTTTTTTTCGTGGTGAGCTGGCTGCTGCTCGTTGAGACATCGCTGAGCTGCGTGGACAGGTCGCTTGGCTAGTCGACCAGACTAGCTAGCTTAAACGGAACCACCCGAGGGTGGTCTCGGCTTTCGACCGCGTAGATGTTCTTTGCCACTCGAAACGGAACCGTACTGATAGTACGGGCGGAGACGGTCAACGTAACATGTAGGATGCGTACAATTCCTACAAAGCAGTTCGATAGTGTATGCGTTGCATATTTGGCGCAAAATACGACATGGACCGATGTACTTGGGCAGTAATTTACTGCTGATCACATTTGTCACTGCGTGTTTCAAGAGATTTACTGTAGAAAGTAAAACTAGGTGTCCTACATCAAATGAAAGAACATTTCTCTTCCATGCTTGTCTGCATTTCGTTTCTGTCTGTCTAGTGCATCTGCAAGAGAATCTTGAATGAAGCGGACAACCGCCTCGCGAGTCAGCAGAAATTCCTCTGCTGATTTATCCTTGTCAAAAGTAGTGCGCTTCGTTTGCACTGTTGAAAGAACGTTGTTTTCAATTGTGAGGGTGTCATCGTCCTCAATTTGGCAGTCATTGGCGATGCTGAATGTACCAGCATCGTCGTCATCATCATCATCGATATCGATCGCATCGACATCGGCACCCATGACGTCGACACCATCGTCGACGATTGATGATCAAGGACCAGATCGGTTTTTGTTCGAGCGAGTCCACCACCCCTTGAACTGGAGTCACACTCTAAGAAGGCGGGTAAACGTGGCCTACGCCATTCACGAAGAACGGTGCGTGTGTTGTCGTCGCATGCACCGAGTTGTTGATGGCAAGCTCTACCATTGGCAAGAACCCACTCCAGCTCGTTAACGGGTGGACGTACCCTCGAAGTATATCTTCGAGGACGCGGTTGACGCGTTCCGTCTGACCATCTGTTTCCGGATGGTCAGAACTTGACATCGTCAAACGTGTTCCAAGTGAACGGAACACGGATTGCCAGAACTGCGCCGTAAAGCGGGGGTCCCTATCGGACACGAGTTCACGGGGTAACCCACAAGTTAAAGGATCACATATATGAAGACACGAGCACAGCTCTGGGCTGTAATATAATCCGGCACAGCAACAAGATGTATCATCCTGCTGAACCGTTCAACAAACAATAGAATACAAGTATTCTTGTGAGCGTCTTCAAACAAACCCGAATACGGAGTCCATCCATACGGACTCCAAACACTCTGCGGGAATCGGAAGAGGCTGCAAGGATGCGCAGGATGAAGGTCTAGGCTTTACCCGTTGACAAACTTCGGAAGCTCGAATGCATTTGCGCACAAACTCATACAGGCGGGACCAGTAGAATTCACGACTCACCTTCAAGTTAGTCTTTTCCCTACCGCTTTTTGGGGCATCGTGACACTTATGCATGATGCGCAATCGCAAATTATTATGAGCGGGATAAACGAAATGAGGTGTGTCGCCGTTGACTGCTGTATAGTACAGCAGTCCATCACGAACAGAACACCGTTCGGTTGGAGAGCGGTATTGAGACAACAAGCTTTCAAAGCTTGACTGCACAGATTGGATACGTAACACATCAATTGCAGAAGAGACTTATCTCCTGCGTATGCTCTTTGCACGTCGCCGAGTGGATTGGATGAAGGAACACTCACTGTTAGTGTTGCTACAGTGGGATCACCCGGACTGCTAGGTTGACCAGTCGGCTCCAAATCGGGCCGACGTGAAAGAGCATCAGCGACGACATTAAGTCGTCCTGGTTTAGACTCGACGGAGAAAGTGTACTACGCGAATATAGACAGACATCTCGCCATTCGTTGCAAGAGGTGAGAAATGTTTACGGCCTTGCGTAACGACGCATGGTCGGCATAAACGATAAAGGGTCTATCTCCTGTGATAAGACCCCAAACTTGGCCAGTGCATATTTCACGGCAAAGGGTTCCTTGCCATGCACCGGATCATTGCGCTCATCTACTTAAAGCTGACGCGATTGATAACAGGCGACGCGCTCAACGCCGCCTGAGTCGTACTGCATTATCGCTCAGCCGATCGAAAAAAACGCTGGTGTCAAAGAATACATGAAATGGTCTATCCTGGTCTGCAATCGCCAACACAGGCGATTGTATCAAGCACATCTTGATGCCTTTAAAAGAGTGCTGACACTCAGCGCTCCATGACCACCTCTCGTTTTTTTTTAAAGGGCGAAAGAGATGTACGGTCATCTTGGCGTAGTTGCGCGAGTATTTGTGCAAGTACGCCGCCCAGCCAAGGAACCTTCGAAGTCCCTTGACGTCGACTGATACAGGCCAGTCGCTAATCGCCTTGTTTTTTTCGGATCAGGGCGTGCACCGTTTTTAACTACGATGCAACCAAGAAGTGGTTTTTTGTTCGCTGCGAGTACACGCTTTTTGAGATCTCACGAAAAACTCATGCTCTCGCATTAGAGTAAGAACCTTCCGGACGTGGATTCTATGAACCCCCACGTCTGTCGTTCTATCCTCAGCCCGGCCGTGGAAGAAGACTTCGTCAAAGTAGCTCGATGCGAAGACGCGCACCGATCGCAACAGATTCGTAACACATCTGTTGAACGTTGCGGGGGCGTTACTTAGCCCCTGTGGCATCACTTGCCGCTCCCAGAACATACCACTGGGGGCGCTCACTGCTGTGTAGGGTATATCCGTTCCCGCATGAGGATTTAATAGAATCCATCCATCACATCCCTGGACGAAAAGATGGTACTCTTTGCCATACCATCTATGATGACATCCTTTCTTGGGATCGGCTGAGCCGGTACTGTTGGAGTTTTCATTTTGTTGAACGCGTGCACGATCCGCCACCCTCCTGTGGCCCTTCGCACACAGAAGGTCGGAGAGCTGTGAGGGGATGTTGATTCCCTCACATGACCAGTAGCTAAACGATTGGCAAAGGATTTGTCGATCGCTTCTACCTTTTCACGAGGCAGTCGCCACTGCTTCATGACACAGTATTTCGAACCAGGTTTCAGCTCGATCTCATGCCGAGTGCCTTTGTCCTTGGGCAGCTCGCATGGCACGTATTCCGGTAATACTTCCCTGAATATGAGCAAATCCTTACTCATAGAATTTGCCTTAAAGCACCCTCAAGATTGAGACGATTATCGCTCAATCCGAGTCTTCTCATCAAGGCCACTCGCATCCATCGATGAGTCACTCAGGACCCGGTCATTTTTAGGGAACACTTCTGCCGACCGAAAATCGGCGACGTGCTCGCCCTCTGTGACGAGTACGAAGATCTGCTTGATCGTGTCACTACACAGATCTTGCAAAAATCTTTTAGATTATAGTGTTGGCAACTTGACTACCTCCAAAGCTGACTTAGGAGGTGTTACCAGATCAAGTGCATAAGCGTCTACACTTAATTCGTCATTCACCATAACATTCACTGTCTTGGTGATTTTCTGGTAAAACACACCCACAGGTGGTTAAGTTTCCACACCCTCAACGTATCTTTCTCGGCGGTTATCATTCTCAGGAAAGCTAGTACTTTCGTCCAATACGTGTACTGACTATGCGTGTATTATCACGGTCACGTCCTCTTTGATAGACTCTCTTTCAGTCGAGCAGGCTTGCTCTACGATCGACTCTCTGATAGTCGATCTCGCTTTAGCTTGTTGTCCATCCTGAACAACACTAATCTCTCTTCACGTATGCACCCTTCTTGGTGTGCACCCGTGTTCCAGTCCACTTAATCTCTTCGAGTGGTAAACCTTCGGCGCAGCCTGTGTCTCTAAACAGGTGCCGGAAGCTGGTTCCACAGTGCAGTGACCTTCTACACTGTGATCTTGTGCAATCGTACTAACGACCGTACCACAAGTGAGGCCATCGCACTCACTCGTAGTACTATCACAAGCTTGTGGAAGCTCCAAGGCGTTCATCAGACGGCCATCCGATGAAAAATTCGGCAGGCATCTTCACGGATCGATGCTACCGGCTAACCCATGGCTGGTATTTTATAAGCCACGGCAGAACAAGGATGAAATCAAATTTGTCATCCAGATCCAGTACGATTCATTCATTATCGTACTGCTTTCCTTTGTAGCGTGCAGTGAATTTCCACTGCACGCTTGTTCACTGTTACGGATGCACCTGTAGCAAGGCACACCGTCATCCTCGTTGGAGGGATCTCTCGCTCAACATAGTTAAAATTACTATCCCTTAGCGACTAGCGTCGAATAAAACTGTTCGACGCCTCACAGTCAACTAGGGCGCGAAGTGACATTTTACTTGTCACTTCGATCTTCAAAGTAATGAGAGACTCCTCATCACTAAGGGCAGTAACACACAGATACCATTTGTTGGGAGCAATCTTCGTCAAAAGTCCTGCAAATTTTCTTCATATTGCTGTATCAGTAGGTTGCTCCACCCCTACTGACCCTGTCCGTTTCTGACGGTCCGACTTGCTGTCGCGGCTTAGCGACATTGTAGGACCCGCGCCTTGGACCTTTCCTTGGCCAACAGCGTTCATCACGTCCTATATTCGGACGTGTTGCGGTGCTTGGGATACTACACTCATGAGCGTAATTTACGATCTTCTGACAGCAATGGCATCTTGCCGATTGCTTGTGACTCAGAGAGCGAGAGTTCTCGCTCTCGATATAACAGATGTCCATCGGTTCGGGATTTCCTTTTTCCTGTCGTCTGGTCGGACGATAGTTTGACGAGTCAGCCTGAGAATGTCTCAGGCTGAAGTCTTCTTGTTACACGTACGCTATCGCCTATTTTGGCGTATGAAAGTCCTCTCGGAACATGTAGGTCTTCACCGGTCCATCTACAAGGCCATAGATGAACACTTTGATGAGTGTGTGCTCATCAACAGGGTTCTCCGTGAAGCTACTCGCATGGTAGCGCAGGTGCTATGAGTTAGCGTGCACGTCACGCCTACCTTGTTTTAGCCTCAAGAGTGCAGAGTGTGCTCTGAACTCGGCTCTCGGCGGCTCAAACATCTCTTTAAGCCGAGACTTTAAGAGGTCCAACGACTCAAACACGTTTGGGTCGTGAAGCTTGAGCCCTCAGGCCCAAGTCTTTGCTCGTCCCGTCAAATTTGACAGGGCGAAGGTGACTTTCATCCCGTCACCCTCGATGTTACGGGCCCTGATGGCATCGTTAAGCTCGACGAACCATCTCAAAAGGGAATCTTCATCGGTTCCCTTGTACCTTGAGATATCTTTCTTCAAAGTTTTTGCGTCGACACATGTGCGTCGGCCCACCCATCGACTTATGAGAGCCTTGCTGCTGTAGCAAGGCTATTTTCTGTTTTTCGACTGCAAGTTCCCCTTGCAGGAACTTGATGATAGCAGCATGTTGCTGGTATCTGCTTAGAGAATCCAACATGCCACTGATGACGGTTTCGCCCATGAGCACACTCATGCGGCCGACTACCTCCCACTTTGAATCACTCAGATGGGAGTAGCCTTCACGTGTGACGTGAAAGCTGTCGTATTCTACGTCCAACATGTTCATGTTTGGCGGACACTGAGTAGTCCTTGGACGGACTACGAAGTGCTACCAGGTGTAACTAGGCACCCCTTGTCCGGGTGTTACGAAACTTCACGTACACTAGTTCGTGCAGAGGTAGCTAATCTACTCAAACGACTATGTTGAGTAAAGGGTAAAAAGAGACTGTATTTAATACGGTTATGCTATCAATGTAACTTCAGTTTTTATCCAACTATATTAAACTACGCCGTCGTATGACGACAACCTGCTCACCACTCATTGCGCGCGACTAGCAGCGTTTGGTGGTAATCCATGGTTAGTATGTCTTATATCAACCAATTGTTGAGCAGCGCATGAATATTATTCAAAAAGGGATAACACTCCTTCAATGTTATTTATCTCGGATAGTATTGGTAAAATATTGTCATGCTAGACAAGTTCCTGTTGACACCGTTAAATGTCAATTTCATGAAA